AAATACAATTAAGCAAAGTTTCCATTGCATTACTGATATTTGGGATTTGTGATCATGTTTCCTACCACAATAAGATCTAGCTTCTCTACTTGGTTAAACCTCAAATCCTCACCGCTTCTGCATGCAATAGAGTTGGGGCAGCTCTACCATTTGGCTTCAGGCAGCAGATAATGTGTGGCAGACTCTGGCTGTTCTTCCTGCTTCCCCAGCTACTTCCCTCTGTTGGAAGACAGAGTGGGGCACACCCCACAACCTATTCAGGGGGCCCTAAACTACCTTTCTTCCTAGGAGGGGATGAAGGACACTATACTGTCATTGATGGGAAGGCAAGCCCTGCTTAGCTGTTCTGAATTCAAGGCTGGGGCTTCCTGTATGGACTCAACCCATCTCTTCTTTCGTCTTCCTCTTCTTCTTAGCCAATAGGAAATTCATTGCCATGGTGAGTGCTGTTCCTTCCCTTTGTCACTTTCAGAACAGAATGACATTACCTGTAAAGTTGGTGTGAAGTGGCTCACACAAAAACTGTCGTAAGCGAGTGAGGACCTGCTCCAGGCTGGACTTATTTTCTGTGCCATTGCCAAGTTCCCCAGAGACAAAAGATTTCTCCAGACCATCCATGTATTGCTGTCTCTGAAAAGCTTGAAATCAAAAAGTCCATTTAGGTGATTCATGCATTAAGAAATGAAGGTGTTGCACTTGTCAGGTTCTGCTGTAAAGTAAATACGTTGTGACCAGCATTTAGTGTTCAGATAGAAAAGGAGATCCAGCAGAGCTGCAGCTTGGATCCGATTAAATAATTCAAAAGCAATAGCTGTGTGTGCATGTGCGTGTGTTTGATTGGTTAAGATGTTCTGGAAAAACACTGGTGTTGATCCAAATGTAGTGATACCTAGAGTAGACCCAGTGAAGTCCATGCGACTAGCTGCCACTGCCACAATGGCCATGTCTTGCATCCCCACCAGTTGATGGTAGAACACAGAGAAGGGTCTTTTCCAGAAGAGCAAAGTATGCAGGCAGGTTCCTATGAGGGCATAGCCTTTAGATGTCCAGATCGCAAACCATCCAGGGCTTTAAAGGTCTAGCCAGCACTTTGAATCAGGTTTGGTAACAGATTGGCAATCAATGATGTTGGTAAGGTCTGAGCATCAAAATAGACTGGGTCCCCAGCTGTGTAGGTAGCTGTAGCATTTTGGACCAAGTGAAGTTCCTAGACAATTTTCAAAGACTGCCACTGTGGAGTCCCATTTCATGGTCTAAATTGGATATAATCAAAGCATGTGTAAATTCTGCCTTCTCCAGAAAAGACACAGGTGGCATATTCACCCAAGCTGTGTGCAACTACACTTCTGGCCATTGCCACCAACTGCCCAATGCTGTACTTGTTGCCCCCAATCTGGAGGGCTTTAAAAGGGGACTGCACAAAGTCATGGAGGCAAAGGGACTCAATAGCCACTAGTCCTGAGAGCTAGCCATACGCCTCCACCAGTATCAGAAGCATCATGCCTAAGTACACCAGTTTCTGGGGAATTTGGCTGGGGCATGTTGCTGTATTCAAGTGCTTGCTGTGGCTTTCCTTTCGGCAGCTGGCCAGCCACCCTGTGAACAGAGTCTGGGACCAGATGGACCCTGGTCTGACCCAGCACTGCAGCCCTTGTTCTGTTCTTATCTGGCTGCTCTCTACTGGAAACATGATGCTGGGATACATGATCCCTTGCCCAGTCTCTGCAGAGATCTCTTTATCTCCACTATTATTGAGTGCACATTGTGCAATGGCCAGCCTACTTACTTACCACTAATACGTAGGGCTATTGCAGCTCCTGCCATGAGAAGCATCACAGCACATCCAGCCCCAGTAACAACCTCACACAAACGGCGATGCCTTGGTAGGGTTTCTATAAGAGCCAAAGTTTGGAGAAAGATCTTCAGTATCTGAGTTTAGGTAAAATAACAACACAAACCCACTTTTAAGTGATTATTTTCATAAACAGTTTTGCAGCTTGTTTTCAAATCTTCTCAACACCACTTGAATTTGAATGTGACTGTTGATTGTACACTAGGAAATGCCTTCACAGAGCTCAGCCTTCAGTCTTCCTGTGGCAGGATGTTGACAAATGTCACTTTAAAAAAAAGAATGTTCTTTCCTCTTCACGAGGAGGATGGTCTGGGACAGTGCCAAGATTCTCCAGAAGACAGTGCTGCCTTGCTCCTCCCCTCCCCACCCACTGGAATGCCCCCCATGCTCATTTATTTTTATTTTTATTTTATTTATTAAAACATTTTTATGCCGCCCCATTCGCCGAAGCCTCGGGGCGGCTTACAACAATAAATTAATATAAACATTAAAAATCCAAAAAATACAATATAAAATAAGCCGCCCTGGCCAGATAAAATCAGTTAATACTAACAGTTAAAATACCGCTTAAATAAAAAGGTTTTCGCCTGGCGCCGAAAAGCAAATAACGACGGCGCCAGGCGGACCTCTCTGGGGAGCGTGTTCCATAAGTTGGGCGCCACCGCAGAGAAAGCCCTCCTCCGAGTAGCCACCCTCCTAATTTCCTTCCCGGAGGGTTCCCGGAGAAGGGCCTCTCCTGCTGATCTCAAGGGCTTTATAGGTCATTACCAACATTCCAAGGAAGGTCTTCCATCTTTGTAGCCCAGCCAACACAGAAAGACCTGCACCGGTGAGGAGGTTGGGGTGCTGGTGTAGTGGTGGAGAACGTCCCAAGCCAGAGTTCAAGCACCAGCTTCAGAATGCATTTCTGAGGCTGGAGCTGGGACTGCTGCCTTGGTACTCCTATAGCCCCCCAGGCAGCAGAGGACTGCAAGGTCAATGGGACTGTGCCCTAAGGGAATGCCATCCCATAGCTCTCTTGTAGAGCACTCATTGCATTACATATTTTGCATCTCTCCATCATGTTTATCATCCAGGTTTTTGTCCAAGAAGTTCCAGGAAATTTACCTGGATGTCCTCAGAAATATTTATCACAATCCCATAAGATAGTCCCATGCTACCAATGTAGGAGTAAGACTACAAGACAATTTACTCAGGCCAATTTTTTGTGCCAACACTGTATAGAGAATTTCCAGCTCATGATTAATCTTCTCACAAATTCCTTGGGCTACAAATGGTCAGCTTGCACAGCACAGTGTCCGTGTCAATTTGGCCAAGCTTAACTTGGAAGCCAGCAATGTCTTCCCTAATTAGCCCCAGCATGGAATTAGCCCCCTTCACAGTTTTGTTTTGTTTTTCTCCATTCATCTGTCTATCACAAACCCTCTCCTGGTCAGTCGGCATCAGTTCAGCTCCTGTTTGCACATACATGAAATCAGGACTTGTTGCCCTAATTTGTGCCTTTGCACATACTGAAGTACATTTACCATGCTAATTCCCTTTCCCCCATTGAAAAAACATCATTTTGGTGCTCTTTGCATTAACTTTTGCCTTCACTAAAATGCGAGCAAGATTTCCCGCCTCTGGTACAAACAGCAACTATTACAGCAGTCTGAAGGTAAGTAGACACAAAGGCAGACACGGAACATGGCCACTGCAGAAGACCTGACACCTCATCGTGCTCTGGAGATCTATCTTGTATAAACCAAGTACTGATGGTCTGGAAAGCTGTAGCTGAAATAAACACACTCTCATTTACCTGCTTCCTGGGATCTGGGGTTCAGTGTTTGCTCTTTTCGTGGCTGCATGTTAAGTGCCATGTAGCCTTCCTCATCCTCCATGTGCGCAGATCGTCTCTGGGGTCTCTTTGGGGGTGAAAGGATACCAACAGAGAGGCACTCTGAGTGTCAAACTGAACTCTGCTTAGAAGCTGCACTGACCAGTTCTCAGAGAAAAGGAAGCCAATCACACAGGAAACGGGGCCTGTGACCTGACCACCTGTCAGCACCTCTGCTCTGCTTCTGATGACTAAGGTCTGTAAATGGCACTCATTTCCAAAAATGGTGGTGAGGAAAGATCACAGGTCACATGCTCACGGGCACCCTCTTGTTCACTTCGCCCTCAATCTCATTCTCTCAATCCATTTCCACCAAGAGATTAGCTAAATAAATACGATAACATCAAGCTACAGAAATGTGCAGTGAGTGGAGATAACATTCCAATCTGTGTGTCTGACCAATACAAGGGAGCTCCTGAATCTGCTCCAGGCTGGAGCCAAGTCTGATTACTCGAAGGGAGAAACTGGATGCTAATGAGGAAAATGCAGCATTCCTAACTCAAGGTTTCTCTGTTAATACAGAGGATGAAGGGCCTTTGCAGGGGAGAATCAGGAGGTGGGAGCAGCTGCTCCAGTTGTCATGGCCCACAGAGGCTTCTTTGTAAATCCCTCCCTTCACCAGCAGCCCTTCTAAATTGTTTTCCTCCTGCCTTGCACCATGACCATGTCCTTGGTCACTGAAGATGGCAAGTGAGGCAAAGAGCCCTTCCCCATTCTGAGCACACAGATGGGCTTCCACTGGGGACTTAAAGGATTTTGTACACAATAACAGCATCCAGAGTTTCTGATATCACAAAGAGCAGGGCAGGAAACAGTGACCAAAATGCTCAGCCCCAAGTGAAATCTACCAAAAGAAGTAGACACTGAAGCTCCAGAAATAAACAGGACTTGAACAGAAAACATCCTCGCTGGATTGTCTCCATCACTGGGATCTTAGTGACAGCCAGTGCAGTATGGTAGTTCATGTGTTGGACTGGGCCCCAGGAGACCCAAGGTTTAACCCCCACTCAGCCATGAAGCTGATTGGGAGACTTTAGGCTAGTCATGACTCTGAGCCTGACGCACCCCACAGAATTGTTGCAGTTGTGGGGATAAAATGAAGAGGAGAACTTTCTGGAACATCCCGGGTTCCTTGCAAGAGGAAGAAAGGTGGGGTATAAATGCGAAGTAATAATCATGTAATAAAATAGCAGAGGCCTAACCAACCGAACACTAAGACCCTCAGAAAGAGTGTGAGCATCTTTCACCTTCCTAGCTATACAGAAGTGCTTCTGCTTAGGAAGTGTCCTCCAACACCTTGACTTCACAGTTCAAATTACTGCTTGGGAGTGATGAAAGCAAAATACATCCCTTTCAGAAGTACTGGAGTTAGGTTTCTGTTTGAAAAAAAACAACAACAACAAAAGTGATGTCTCTGGTTGTCCCAACTACAATTTCTTATCATGGTCAGATTAAATTGGCATGGGAAAATGGGACAAACTTCAATTGTCATGTAATTCCAGGCTGTGCCTATCTTATCATGGAGTCAAAGTATGCAATATCTTTCATTATTTCAATTTCTTCATTGCTGACCTTGTTGTTGTTGTTAGTCACAAAGTCGTGTCTGACCCATCACGACCCCATGGACAACACTCCTCTAGGCCTTCCTGTCCTCCACCATCCCCTGGAGTCCACTTAAGCTCACATCGACTGCTTCAGTGACTCCATCTAGCCACCTCATCCTCTGCCATCCCCTTCTTCTTTTGCCACCTATTGTTCCCAGCATTAGGCTCTTCTCCAGGGAGTCCTTCCTTCTCATTAGGCAGCCAAAGTATTTGAGTTTCATCTTCAGCATCTGGCCTTCTAAAGAGCAGGCAAAGTTGATCTTCTCTAGGAATGACCGGTTTGATCATCTTGCGGTCCAAGCGACTCACAGGAGTCTCCTCCAGCACCATAATTCAAAGGCCTCAATCCTTTTGCGCTCAGCCTTCCTTATGGTCCACCTTTCACAGTCATACATTGCTACTGGAAAACCATAGCCTTGACTATATGCACTTTTGTTGGCAGGATGATGTCTCTGCTTTTTAGTATGCTGTCTACATTTGCCATCGCTTTCCTCCCCAGGAGCAAGCATCTTTTCATTTCTTGGCTGCAGTCCCCATCTGCAGTGATCTTGGAGCCCAGGAAAAAAAAATCTGTCACTACCTCCATTTCTTCCCAGTCTATTTGCCAGGAAGTGAGAGGACCGGATGCCATGATCTTCGTTTTCTTAATGTTGAGTTTCAAGCCAACTTTTGTGCTCTCCTCCTTCACCCACATCAAGAGGCTCTTTAGTTCCTCCTCACTTTCTGCCATTTGAGTGGTATCATCTGCATATCTTTATTTATTTATTTTTTAAAATTTATTAAAACATTTTTATGCCGCCCCATCGCCGAAGCCTTGGGGCAGCTTACAACAATACGTTAGTTCATCATAAGTAAAAATTAAAATATATACATTAAAATAAAATACAACTATACCATATAAAATAAGGCGCCCTGGCCAAATAAAATTCAATAATATTCAAAAAATTCAATAATATTAACATTTAAAATGCTGCTTAAATAAAAAGGTCTTCGCCTGGCACCGAAAAACAAATAACGATGGCGCCAGGCGGACCTCTCTGGGGAGTGCATTCCATAACTTAGGCGCCACCTCTGAGAAAGCCCTCCTACGAGTAACCACCCTCCTAATTTCTTTCATGGAGGGCTCCCGGAGAAGGGCCTCTCCCGCCGATCTCAGGTTGTTGATATTTCTCTCAGCCATCTTAATTCCAAGTTGTGATTCATCTAGGCCCGCCTTTCTCATGATGTGCTCTGCATATAAGTTAAATAGGCAGGGCGACAGTATACAGCCTTGCCGAACTCCTTTCTCTATTTTGAACCAATCAGTGGTTCTGTGTCCAGTTCTCACTGTTACTTCTTGACCCGCATACAGGTTTCTCAAGAGACAAATAAGATGATCTGGTACTCCCATCTCTTTAAGAACTTGCCACAATTTGTTGTGATCCACAAAATGAAAGGCTTTAGCATAGTCAATGAAGCAGAAGTAGATATTTTTCTGGAACTCCCTAGCTTTCTCCATGATCCAGCGTATGTTGGCAATTTGATCTCTCGTTCCTCTCCCTCTTTGACATCCTGCCTGTACTTCTGGTAGTTCTCAGTCCACATACTGCTGGAGCCTAGCTTGTAGGATTTTGAGCATCACTTTGCTACCATGTGAAATGAGTGCAATGGTGCGGTAGTTTGAACATTCTTTGGCATTGCATTCTTTCGGATCGGAATGGGAACTGACCTTTTCCCATCCTTTAGCCACTGTTGAGTTTTCCAAATTTGCTGGCATATTGAGTGTAGCACTTTTATGGCATCATATTTTAGGATTTTGAATAGCTCAGCTGGAATACTTTTGCCTCCACTAGCTTTGTTGTTGGTCAGACTTCCTAAGGCCAATTTGACTTCACATTCCAGGATGTCTGGCTCGAAGTCAGTGACCACCCCATCGTGGTTTTCAGAGACGTTAAACTCATTCTTGTATAGTTCTTCTGTGTGATCTTGCCACCTCTTCTTAATCTCTTCTGCCTCTGTTAGGTCCCTGCCATTTTGGTCCTTTATCATGCCCATCTTTGCATGAAATGTTCCCTTCATATCTCCAGTTTTCTAGAAGTGATCTCTGGTCCTCCCTATTCTATTGTTTTCTTCTATTTCTTTGCACTGTTCATTTAAGAAGGCATTCTTATCTCTTCTAGCTATTCTCTGGAATTCTGCATTCGATTGGGTGTATCTTTCTCTTTCTCTCTTGCCTGTTGCTTCCCTTCTTTCCTCAGCTATTTGCTGACCTTAAAGTTTTATAATTCTGAAGTCCACAAAGCATTAACTTTCATGTTCAATTCTGACTTGTGCCTTTTGCACTCCAGTTTGAACATTGGTCACAATATGCTGCATATAGGGAAAGGTGGTGGTGGTGGTGGTGGAGGTTGTTGTTGCAAGCCCTTCAGCTTTACTGTGCTTTCCTGGGAAATTGGTGCAATGGTCCTATAGTTGCTGCATTCTTTAGTATCTCCTTTCTTGGGGACCGGACTTGATACACAGCATCTAAATTGATCCTCTACTTTGTTAATATAAATACTGTTTAGAAGATCTCTACCTTTAAGCCCATAAGAAATGCCCTGCTGGATCAGACCAAGGTCCATGTAATCCAGCATTCATTCTCACAGTGGCCAACAAATTGCCCCAATGGAAAGTCCACAAGCAGGCCATGAGTGAAACAGCACCCTCCTGTCCATATTCCCCAGCAGCTTGTGCACAGAGACATCTGGATGAATCGCTATTGAGAGCCTTCTCCTTTATGAATTTGTCTAATCTTCTGGTAGAGTCATCAGCACATTCATAGTTTAATTATTTGCAGTGTGAAAAAATAGTTCCTTTTATCTGCCTGAATCTCTCACCAATTCAAATCTATTTGGGTCTTCTCCACCCAGACTAGATGGACAGTCTTAGAATCTTCATGTCAGCACCCTCTCTCCAAACGGACTATACTTGGTTCTCAATACCTCCGGCAGTCATAGTAGTAAGAGAGGCACAGCATGGAAGGACATGGCAATTGAAGCTTGATCCGTTTTCCCCAAGCCAAATTAATCTTATAGAGAGAGTAAAAGAAAACATTGGCATGGCAGACCTGGATGCTTAAGCAGATTTTTACACTGGGTCAACTGATGGGAGATGATGATAACGTTGTGTCATTCTCCACTCTTTGCACTAAATATGGTTTGTCCAAAATGGCCAAATGCAAGGCATTCCATCAAAAGGTTTGTCAGAATCTAGGTGCAGCCCTACAGCTTTTGCTGCAGAGACCCTTTCGCATTTAGTACTGCTTGTCATGGCTGATCAAACATATTAGCCTATGATATTCTTGTAAATATTTCCACTAACCAATGAAATGCTGCATCAATATCAATTGTGGAAACCTCAATGGATCTTAGGTCACATCTTCTTCAGCTATATGTACACAGTGCACAAATTCCACATGCCTTCATTGTAATGGAAATAACCTTTATTCACTGTAAACTTTTACAATGTTGGTTTTGTTATAATTTTTGAAATTCACAATAACAATCGTTTAGAAAAAACTTCCT